GATTCACACATCCCAAATCCCCAACCTAGCTGACGGTGGCGGCAAGCGATTCCAGGTCCGGCGGGCGACGGCCGACCCTCTCCCTCCCCTCCGCCTACAGCCCTCTCGGCCTCTCCTCCGCCAGTCTGCCTCCGGCCTCCCCCCTGCAGGCGCCCTCCAAGGCTGACGGCTCCACCTCCGACAGTCTAGCCTCCGTCACCGTCGGGCTCTACCTCCGGCAGTCCTGCATCCATTCAGTACGCAAACTGCATACAGCCATCCCCATCCATCTTGAAGCTAATCTGCTAGATGCTAGTGTAGATGCTTAATCTTTTAAGTGAACAAATCCCAATCTGCTAGGCGCTAGCTAGATGGTAGATGCATGCTACTGCCACTGATTTTTATTTTAGTGTTCTTGTAATGTAGATGAAAAACAAGGGTGTTAACTTATTTGCAATGTGGTAAAAGGCTTCAAAGGAAAATTAAAAAAACTTGTGCATCCACACCAAGTGCTCCTTCTGTTGAGCTTAGATATATTGCCACAATGATATGTTTGTACCATTATTACTTATATCTGGTTATGGTTGTTTGAACTTATGAAGCTGTTGATGCTGCTCTGATCTTCTGCAGTGAGAGTTGTGTCGTTTAGCATCCTTAGGTTCTGTCTAGATTTCCTGGGATGTAGGCTTCCTTTTTTTGTTCCTAGTTGTTGTGCCAAGGCACCGTTTTGTGTTGTTTCTCTACTATTAACGGTATCAAACTCCATTTTCTTAATGAAAACGGGGCCATGTGGCCTCTTTGTTCAAACTTTTAAAAAAATCTAGTATACATTTACATTGCATTGCAAAAAAAATACAATGAATACCCAGCATCAAATTCCTGGCACCGCCACTGACTACAGGTGTGTTGGATCTTCCATGCCCAGCCTACCAAAGATTTCTAGCTAGCACAAGCTACAGCCCTCATTGGCTAGGTTATTTATTTGATCCGTTTTTTCTGCAGGGGGTTTATTTGATCCATTTACCTAGTACAGTAGGTAAATACGAGGAAAAAGTGGTGGTAAATACCCGTTCATGCGGGGGATTTTTGTTATCCGGTGATTTCGGAAGCGAGCACAAAGGAGCCCAGCAACGAGCTCGAGCCGAGGATGGCACGGCTGACCGTGGCTTCACCAACGAGGCCTCTCGAGGACTTCGTCGGAAGCTGCGACGCAATCACGTAAATAGAGGAGAGGACGAGGGTTCATAGGTTCGGGTTGCGGGCGTTTTTGTTTGAACAATCACTCAGATTAGATGACGATGAGCTCGGGACGGCGTCGCCGGCAAGCCCTCGTAAGTCATAAGGACCTCTGTTGAGGCAGGTGTGGTTCCGTCGACGAGGGCTCGGCTGGACCTCTCTAGAGGTGGGAACGACGTGGCTCAACGCGGCGTCTTAGCCCGAGGGGGAGTGAGGATCTTGGCTGGTTGATTTGGGGAGCTTTGGTTTTGGGTTTGTGCTAGTGGTGGAAGAAACTGAGTTGTTAGATTGAAAATTCAAATCCGAGTTTCAAAAATCAGCGGAGCGGAAAAAAAGCACTTGACACATAGGTGCTCCCTATATTTATTTTTATCTTCGGCCATCAACAAGGCTAATATCATAACAGCATTCTTCAAAAAATAAATAAAAATGAAAGTGTTTACTTATTAGGTATTTGGCTTTTTTTGTGTCAGTAACATTTTATCAGGTTCATCAGGTCATCTGATGTATCATCACTGTTCATCTTATTCCTCACTCACGCTTCCTGCCTACCTCGCCCTAACTGCTGGCCTCCAGCACGTGCGGCTGGCGTCAAGATGGCAACGGGGATGAAACCCATCGGGTTTTGCCTTTTCAAACCCATCCCCATGAGAAAATCTAAACCCGTCCCTGTCCCCGTCACCGTGCACGGGGCTAGTTTTTCGCCCGCCCCCTAAATCCACGGGGAACCTGCGGGGAAATCGATATATATAAGGAAACATAGAACCAACAAAGAATAATATTTCAAGAACAAAACGATACCACATTTCAGCAACATAGATAATCAGATTTCAGCAACAAACAGGAGCATATTTCAGCCATACATGGTTAAACAAGATGTCCAATTACATAAGTTCTAAAATATAATTTTTGGTTCACAAATAAAAAGCATAAATGAGACGAAATAGTCCAATACATAAGTTTTGAAATAGAATTCATAGTTCACAAATCACTTTAAAGTAGAAATCATCATAGCATTTTTCACATCTCCAAGACTTCAAAAGACTATCTTCAAAGCTTCCAAAGCCAAATCAAAGTGCCAAGTCCTAGAGAAGATCAAAATACGCTCAAGCTTGGTGAAAAAAATGTATTTTGCCGGGTTTGCCGGGTTTCGGGTTCGGGGACTACCGAAATGGGTGCAAACCCATGAAACGTGTCGGGTTGTATAATGTGCCCAACAACAGCCCGGCGGGGATGAAAAGACACCCATCCCCGTCCCCTAATAGGGTAAAAACCCACGAGGACGCGGGTTTCGGGGCCCCATTGCCATCTTGAGGCTGGCGGGTGCTACCGAGCACCGCCTAGCTGCCCCGCCCTTTCCTCAACCTCACCCGATCACCCCTACCGTCATTGCTAGTCATCACCCCGACCATCCCCTCTTAACCCTTCGAACTGCAGGAACCCCGATGACCCTTCACTCCGCCAACCCTTGGTGAAGCTTTTTCCTCGCCTCCACCAGGGGCGCTGCCACTCACAGCGTCATTTTCGGCTCTACCGAGGTCTTGGCTTGGCCTCGGCGTGGTAGACATGACACATGAGGAACGGCACACTCGTCACTGCCGCACACGCTTTGCCGCCATCTTTGGCCTCATGCAAAGCAAAAATTGACCAACGCAAGAAAAAAAATCAGGCACATGAGATTTACAAAACCGAAATATAATAACAACGTCACACCTTTTTCCGTTAGATCGGGTCCTTTTCTCTATCCAAACTATACAGTTCCGCGCACACATTTGTGTACTTGTCCAGGCGTGATGCCTTTGACCAAGAAACTCTGAATCCCCAAATACCAATCCAACTCCAAACGGTGGGGCTTCTGAAATCCACGAGCTCGCCGCCGTCGGGGCTGCCGGCGACGTCCGCAGATCCACGCCCAACTCCCTCACCAGCCGCCTCCACAAGCCGCTGCCTGTAGCCAACCGCAGCTCCGCCAACCGTCGCCGTCGCCTGGGCAGGCGGCGGGGAAGGAGGAAGATACCGTCCGACAAGGGTTTCCTCCCTTGGAACCGTCGCCGTGGCCTGGATGCGGCGTTTCTGACGCTCTGCAAAGAATTTGTATTTATGCTAAATGTATTTGTTTTTCTCAACTCATATTTCCCCCCTTAATTTGTGAAATGTGTTGTCCATGTTATCAGAGAGGTGAAACGCCCAAGCTAGCCAATTCTAGCAGGAAATATAGGATGCAATAGAGAGCAATTTCAAACACACAAGCGCGACCACAAGGGAGTTTACACTCGAATTCTTGGAACAAATTACCGATAGGTTTTCTGAGGAGCACATCATTGGTCGTGGTGGGTATGGAGTAGTTTACAAGGTATACCCATATGATTATTACTTGGATCTTTTAATTTCGTATGATACTACTGTACATAACAGCATGACACCATCTAATTTCTTAACAGGGAGTATTGGAAAATGGGGAAGAGATTGCTCTCAAAAAGCTTCATCAGGCTGGTCATAGTGGAAGTAACTTAAAGAGTAACATAGATGCCACATAAGCAAAAAAGATGATGTGGCAAGTAATTAATAAGGAGAAAGGCTAAGGCTGGTCATAGTGGGGAGTAACTTAGGCTGGTTGTATGGGGAGTATCATATACTAATATCATGCATATGATACTAGTGTATGATACTACTTCTCTAATGCATAGTATCATATATTAGTATCATGTAGTACTCTATTTATTGCCATGCATGACACAAAGTAGCATAACATTTATTATGATACGGTACCATGATATGATACTCCACCCTCTCTTTCTTCATTTAATGCTATGCCACATCATCAAAATTGCCTAGTTGGCATGCATGATACTACCTATGATACTACCATTACGACCAGCCTTATACTAGTGTCATGCATATAACACTAGTCTAAGTTACTACCTCTATAGTGCAAAGTATCTTAGTAGTAGTATCATAGATTGTTTCATTTATTGCCTTATAGACTCATTTTACCTCGGGAAGCGCTATATTACGGTAACATATTATGTTACTCCAAACACCTCTCTCCTCATTAAATACTTGCCACATAAGCAAAATTGTCTTGGGGTGTGTTAAGTTACTACCTAAGTTACCCCCACTATGACTAGCCTAATAGAGTAACATAATATGTTTCTATCACATAGCGCTTTCCAATGCAAAATGGCTCTACAAAGCAATAAATGAGGACATCTATGTTATCACACCTATGACACCACCCACTATGAAGGTAGTAACATAGACTAGTAACATATGTATGTTACTAGTTTAAGTTACTCCTCACTATGACCAGCCTCACATGCCGGGACTTGACGACACACAATTTAGGAATGAGTTTAATAATCTTATGAGGGCCCAACATCCAAATATTATCCGGTTGGTTGGCTATTGCTATAATCTAGGACATCAACGCATTAAATATGATGATTAATATATTTTTGCCCTTGTGGAAGAAAGAGTTCTCTGCTTTGAATATTTGCATGGCGGAAGCCTTGACAAGCATATCTCTGGTATGACTCTGCTCTGCGGATCATGCCATGATTTTATTTTGCTTCCAAAAATAATTGATCCCTAACCTTCTAGAAATCACTATATTTATGACTAACAGCATGTTTACTCCTACAGACGAATCCTGTGGACTCGATTGGCAAACACGTTTCAAAATTATTAAGAGAGTTTGTGAGGGTTTAAATTACCTTCATAATGGATCCAGAGATCCTATTTACCATCTTGACTTGAAACCTGCAAACATATTATTAGACCAGAACATGGTCCCCCAAATTGGAGATTTTGGTTTGTCAAGACTCTTCCCTTCAGTACAAACATATATCACGATTAAAATTATAGGAACACCGTAAGTTGATACCTCATGTTAAATTATCAACTTTTAAAAAATACATTATAGAAATAATTATATTATATATGTACCATGCAGCGGATACATGCCACCAGAATATATTGAGAGATATGAAATCACATCGAAGTATGACGTATTCAGTTTGGGTGTTGTAATCATGCGGATAATGGCAGGAGATGAGGGCTACTCCAAATGTGCGCATATGTCTTCGCAAGAATTTATTGAGCATGTATGGAAGATATTTTGTATTATGAACACAAATCCTTTTTCACAAATTTTATCATGTTGTGCCTTGCTTTCGGTGCCACCTTTCACCATTGTTTCAACTTTCCAGGTACATGAAAAGTGGGGGAAACAACTGCGGGAAACAATGTCGTCATATATATCAGAGCAGCTTAGCACATGTCTTGAAATAGCGCTGAGGTGTGTGGAGGTCGATCATGAGAAACGACCTACTATAGCAGAGATTGTTGATGAACTGAACAAGGTTGATACTGCAGAAAGTTCAACTAAAGACAAGGTATATATGTTTAGATCGGTTGTTGGCCAGGATTTACATGGCATGACCAAACTACATCATTTTTCATGTCTATCCTCTAATTAACCACTAACTTCCATCTCATATCATAAACGTCAACTCTTTTAACTTAATTATCCTATTCCTCTTTACCTACTATTTACCGTACAACCACTATAGCTAGTCTTTTCGTATATTTTGGGAGAAATAAGTAGAAAAAGTTTGAGAATTACTCCATCTGTTTCTGTTTGTAAATAGATTGTAGCTAGACATGGATAGAATATCCAACATTAAATTGTGACCATTACTTTTCCCGTGAATATGTTAGTCAAGAAAATATATGATTATTAAATTAGTAAAGTATTTTTGATGACAAATCTAGTGATGTTATTTTCACAATTTCACTAGACCAATTTTCTAGACATATATGTATATAGAGTATATGAGTCAAAGGTAAAATTGTGAACATATGCTTGCTTGGAAATTATCTACTTATGAACATATATAGTAACAAAGTACTAGAGATTAAGAGAAGGTTTGTAGCTGTCAACATATTTTTTTGGAGAAACAAAATGACAAAGCAACTCCCAGCAATTCATATTAATTTTGAACTTTATAGAGTGCAATGTTTACATTAGATTTGTTAGTCACAACAACTTTATTTCAAAGATGAAAAAATCATCGGTTGTTATCGATGGATTAATATATAATTGCAAAAAGCCTCTGTTTTGTAGTAGACAAATGTCAAAATTATTCTAAGAAAGTAAAACAGAATAGGGCACCAATTGTTTCATGCATGTTCCAACCAACCACTAATCTATGGAATGTGGTAAACATCTCGACCAAAGCTGTAAACACCATTTGGTCATGGATGCAAGGCGAATAGTTAGTGGGGGATGATGTGGCTGAACGTGGAGTTAGTGCGGAAATGACATGGCTGGACATGGAGGCCAGAAAAAGAGTCTCCGGGGGACAATTGTATAATATGAACATAGATTTGGAAAGGGGAGTGGTCTTAGGTAATTAGTATGTGTTGTTAGGGATTTAAATGTTTAACTCGCGTCCCCCGCGCGTCGCCTCTGGCGCACGGGGGAAACCCTAACCGCGCCGCTAGTCGCCCCTCCCCCGCTTCGCCGCTGCCGGAGGGGACACCGGCGAAGCCCGCGTGGTCCCCAGGGAAGGTGGCGGCGGGGCGTCCTCGTCGTTCTCGCGCAGATCTTGCGGCGGCCGGTGGCGCGCGGTGGTGTTCCGCCGGTGGCTGGCGCCTGCTGCCCGTGGGGCGGCGTCCCTCACTGCGGCGGGGCTGCCCCTGAACGGCGCTTGGTGGTGGCCACGTGGCGGCACGCGGGTGGGCCGGATCTGGGCTTCCAGTCTGCGTCCTTGTCGTGGCAGCGCTTGCCGCTGCCCTCGACCATGAAGCGTGGTCCGGGACGGGCCGAGCGCCGGTGGTGCTGGCCAGGACGCACGCTGGCAGCGCCCTACTTCATCTCGCGTCGTCTCGCTGGCCAATGGTGGTGGTCATCTTCTTTGTCAGAGATGGTCGGCCAGAGGCTTGGTGATCGGATCTCGAGATCCATCATCTAGTCCCGGCTGCGAGTTAGGGAGACATGGTTGTTGGTGAAAACCGAGCCGTTGGCAGGCGATGGCGGCGTTCTATGCCGTTACTTTGATGGAGGCATCATCGTGTAACTACTGTTGACCCACTCGTGCTGCTTTGGGGGAAACCCTAGGATCTGGTGTTCCAGATCGGACGATGGAGGCACTACGGTGTCCACTACAAGAAATATGTCAACTTATGACCTTCTGTCAGTGACCCTTGAAGAATTGGTCATAAATTTATGACCATTTTAGACCAATTGGTCAAAAGCTGTTCAGGGGGCTCCAAACCCTAAACCATTGCGACATTTTGGTCAGAAAGGTCGTAATTTCCTTACATGAAATGGTCACAAAGCAAACAGTGCTAGTCCGCTGCCTTATTTGTAGTTGTTAATGACCAATATAGATGGTCATAGCCTTGTAGATTGTGGTGGGTTGTGATGACTAGGCGCCATCTCATCAGTTTTGCCTATGTGTCATGTCCATGTGGCAGTTTTTGCCCTAGGTTGTGAAGCAACCTATATTTCTATCATTCCCAAAATTCCCCAAAAAATCTCATAAATTCTTTGAGGCATATCTTCATCAAATATGTAAAAATCCTTCCTTGCCTAGTTCAAAACTAATTCAACAATATTCATTTTCCTATTCTGTTCACAACAACACTTTATGAAGGAAGTGCTATTTATATATTCTTGATTGCCCTCGGAATTTTTGGGCACTCTTTCCTATCCAAATCATTGCCGCATGACAAAATTCAGCTCCATTTGCCTAGCAAATCTTCCTCGGAAAATTTCCAAAGTTTTTGTCCACCTAGAAGCATTGTGAAGGAAGTACCTTTTTTATATCTCTAAATGACATGAAATATATACAGTTCCTTCATATGCCCAAATTATCACCCTCCTCCAAATTGCAGCTTAGTCAAATCATCTATGTGAGCCCAGGTTCAATTTATATTTTATGGCCAAATTGGCACGTTGCAAAGCAAGTGTTATATAGACCCCTCCTATTACCCTCAAACTTTTTGGGAACTCTTCCATACCTAAATCATTGCCACATGATAATATTCAGCTCAATTTTCCTAGTAAATATTTCTCGGGAAATTTCCAAAGTTTTTACCTCGAGAGAAGCTTTGTGAAGTAAGTACTAGCTAGGCTTACCCAAATGATCTGAAAATTTACCAGAACATGACCATACCTAAGTAACTTACCTACACCAATTTTGAGCTCATTTCATTCATCCAATCTCTCTCACTAGTTTTCCTAAGTTTTTGTCCATAGAAGAGCATTGTGAAGGAAGTACTACTTTGGCATGTCCAAATGGTATAAATTTTCTACAATGCTTTCCTATGCCCAAATAACCATCCTCCACAAAATTTCAGCTCACTCCATTCATTATTTTGAGCCCAGCTTCAACATTCATATTTTTGTCCAGTGTGGTACTTTGCAAAGCAAGTACCACCTAGGATCCTCCTTTTGAGCTAAAAATTTGTGAAGACATTCTCCTTAGTAGATGATCATCCTCAGCCAAAACTCACACCCATTGGCCATGTGCATTTCCCGTACCGCTAATCAAACACTTGGCTGCTAATTCATGTTTGAGCATCGATCGATCTCCTCATGAGAATCTTATGTTGTAATTTTCTTCCTAGCACCAACCTGGAGAGTGTCCAACCCACTAGACATGCCTAGGCCGCCCAGAACACATGGCAACATTATGGTCACGCGGTGACCACGCGACGGGCATGCGAGTTTACGCGCTCTAGAGTTGGGGTCCTCGGCCACCGCCCAAACCTCGACGTATCGCTACCAAACCATGTATTTATGATTAAATAGGTCCTTATGTAACTAGAAATGATTTTTGGAAAAAATAAATAGCAAACTATGAGGCAGCTGCAGTTCAAATTTGACCCGCTTCCAACTGAATCGGCAGAAATTTGTCTTTTTCACGAGAGGTGGATCAAAATTTTTTACACCCAACCATTTTGTCAATTGTGCATTAAATATGGCCTAGTATTTTATAAAAATGATTTGGTCCAATTTTGCAACAATTATTTGTTAGTTCCTTCACAAAAAAACCTCCTTTCGGGCACTCGAAAAATGGAAAATGGTTTTTTCGTCCAACAAAAATGAAAACTTCCTTAGGCAACATTGTTTGCCATTACAATATGCACGCTTGTGCACAATATGAGATTATTTGAACAAACTATGCCATGAATGTGGCCATAAGATTGATCATTTGGCTTGAAAGCCATTGATCTCCACATGTGATAGCTCATTTCTGAGAACACTTTTTTAAAATAATTGCCATATTACAAGTTTGTTATTTTTCCTGGGAACTTGGCCACAAATAATGACACAATGCGAAGGTTTCCCAATTTTTTGATTTTTTTATGCCCGTTTCAAAATGCGGTCAAAACGGCGAGAATGACCGTTCCTAGCTAGTGGTTGAATCTTGGGATTTTTTTGGTGTTTCTCTGATTAAATAGGTACTTATGTAACTAGAAATAATTTTTGGAAAAATAAATAGCAAACTATGAGGCAGCTGCAGTTCAAATTTGACCCGCTTCTTGCTGAATCGACGGAAATTTGTCTTTTTCACGAGAGGAGGATCAAAACTTTTTACACCCAACCATTTTGTCAGTTGTGCATTAAATATGTCCTAGTATTTTAGAAAATCGATTTGGTCCAATTTTGCAACAAATATATGGTAGGTCCTTCACAAAAAAACTCATTTCGGGCACTCGGAAAATGGAAAATGTATTTTCCGTGCAAAGAAAATGAAAACCCCCTTAGGCAACATTGTTTAGAATTCCAAGATCCACCATTTTGCACAATATGAGATCATTTGAACAAACTATGCCATGAATGTGGCCATAAGATTGATCATTTGGCTTGAAAGCCATGAATCTTCACACTAGATAGCTTGTTTCCGAGAACACTTTTTTAAAATAATTGCCGTATTACAAGATTATTATTTTTCCTGGTAACTTGGTCACATATAATGACGCAATGCGAAGGTTCTCCAATTTTTTGAATTTTTTTGAATTTTTTATGCCCGTTTCAAAATGCGGTCAAAACGGCGGGCTTGACCGTTCCTAGCTAGTGGTTGAATCTTGGAATTTTTTTGGTGTTTCTATGATTAAATAGATACTTATGTACCTAGAAATGATTTTCGGAAAAAATAAAGAGCAAACTACGAGGCAGCTACAGTTCAAATTTGACCCGCTTCCAGCTGAATCAGCAGAAATTTGTCTTTTTCACCAGAGGTGAATCAAGGCTTTTTACACCCAACCATTGTGTCAATTGTGCATTAAACACGTCCTAGTATTTTAGAAAACTGATTTGATTCAATTTTACAACAAATATATGGTAGGTCATTCACACAAAAAACTTATTTTGGTCACTCGAAAAATAGAAAATGAATTTGGCATGTTGCATCCTTGGTAGTGAGCAATTTGCGAGGGAGGCTTTGGAAGTGGTGAAGTAATTTGCTGGAACCGACAATATGGATTGCTAGAACTATTGATTCAGGATGCTTCATCCCGGCGGTGAGCAGCCTCAGGGAGGTGCTAGAACTCGCGAATGCTACAACTAGAGAACATCGGGGTGATGCCGACTGTGAGGCGCCAGACTGCGCTTGTGCGTGACGGTGCAACAGCGGGAGGGTCAACGATGTGTTCTATC